TGCTGGCTGTCACCAAGCACCTTGTTTTTCATGTGCCTTAGCATGCCTGCCAGGAGAATCTGCTCCAAGATTTTGCCAGGCACAGAGGTGAGACTGACTGGTCTGTAATTCCCCAGGTCATCCATTTTCCCCTTCTTGAAAATGGGGGTTATATTTCCCTTTTTTCAGTTGTTGGGAACCTCACCTGACTGCCATGATTTCTCAAATATGACGGACAGTGGCTTAGCAACTTCATTCGCCAGCTCCCTCAGGACCCATGGATGGATTTCATCAGGTCCCGTGGACTGGTGCACATTCAGGTTCCTAAGATGGTCTTGAACCAGCTCCCCTCCTACAGGGGCCTAAGGTCTTCACTCTGACAGCCCCTGCATCTGCCTTCCAAGATTCAGGTGATGTGGTCAGAGCATTTGCCAGTGAAGACTGAGGCAAAGAAGTCATTAAGAACCTCAGCCTTCTCCAGTATACACAATACAGTTCCTTACTTGTATAGCCCATCACTGTATTTGCCCCTTCTCCCCATTACATTTGTTTCCAGGCCTTCTATTCCCCCTCCCAGTCCAATTTTCCAGTGCAACTGCTTGCTCAGGGCATCTTAGCACAGAGAACTCCCTTTGCGCCGTCCAAGCTTGTGAGATGTGCGTGGATTTCGTAACAGATTTGTTTAGCAGGATCTGCTGACCAGTCTCCTTTGCCAATCACGAAATGCTTGTGAAAACCGAGAGCTGTGACACACTCATTCCACAACTTGGAGGATAAGGCCAACTGGATCCTTTCCAAACCAATTGCAGAGCCGGTGACTGGCTCTCTGCTCACACATCTAAACACCCTCCTATGCCAACGGATCATTTTCCTTGAAGACATCCCAATCAAGGCCGTTAAGACAGAACATGCATTTCATTTAGGGGTGGAAATGTCAGTAGAGAGGCTCCGACTGAACACTAAGCACATGTCACTGCACGGGATAGGAAGCATCAGAGCTGCCCATCAGGGTCCATAAGCCCTAAAATGCTGCTAGCTAAATTGGACAGTCCCTTAGCTCAAGTGAGAGCCTGTTTCTGAAGCAGAAGGCTGAACATATATCCAGCATATAGAAATCAGGAAAGTCTAGAAAGTGATTACAGCATCTAGCAGAATAAAAGCAGAAAAGTCTTATGTGGTCATTTGGTAATATAAAAACAGGTATGAGCTGAAAGTAATCTTAAAGATTACTTCAGGATGGTGCTGATTACAGAATCCACAGCCATGGGTCCTATCGGTTGGAGGCAAGGGTCTGCAATGTGCCATGACCAGCACAGGGTCCATCTCTCCTCCTTTCTCACTAGAAAAGCAAGACTTCAGCAGATGAGCCACAAAATCAACTGCAGAAGACTAGGAGTCAGAACCTGGATAATCCCAAAGCAGGGAGCTGGTCTGTAGGCCTGTCAACCTGAGTAGTAACCCCCAGACAAAAGAAATACCTATGAGGAAGTATTTATTTTAGTGCACATTCCAGACTATCAGATTTCTGGCAGTTTGACTGCAGCACTCTTGGAATCACAAGCCATGGGCCAACCATGACAATGTCTCTGTGTGCTCTTAATCTTATCGCACTGGGAATTGTGGCTTGCCCCAGGCAGTCTCCAAGGAATAAGCTCTCTTTCTGTCTCCTTCTCATGTCACCCCAGTGGTATCTGACATCCCAGGCACACTTTTCAGCTCAGTGTTGCACACTGGAGGGCTGAGCTTTGGAAATGTTCTTCCTAAGGTATTTACCTGGACCTGTCACAAGAAGCCTTCACAAGCTTTCTGGTTTACTTTGCAGACACATAGACCTCAGGGCAGAAAAGCCCCCAGGTTTGGGGGAGCTTCTCCAAACCCCAAGCACTAAACAGATTGCAGCCTTCCTATGGAGCTGCATTCATGTGTCTGCAAATGGCCTGAGGAAAGAACTGCCCTCCTCTGGAGCTCTAATCATTTGTTTGGGGAAGCATCAAACACATTTAAGTAAATGCCAAGGAGTCAGACCCAAGATTCTGCAGTGATAAAAGCAGGTAGACCTGGACCTCAAAGGGACCAGCTTTCCTTTATAGCAGCGCCAGCGCTGGCCTAAGTGCTTTCTTTAATGAGCAGTGAGTTGGCTGGCACTGCACAGCCCTTCCCAAATCATTTAAGTCACTTTTCCACAGCCAGATGGGCTTTGGAGAGGTGCTTGAGAGCTGAGCAGGGCTAATGGAAACCACCCCTGCAAAATCTGACCAAGGCCAATTAAGAAATGCATTAACAGTTGTCCTTCTGGAGCTCTGACAGAGCCTGTGGATGAATCCTCCCCGTACCCAAAGCTGTGCTGGAAGCTGGGGAAGCTGCTTTAGTACTCCAGTGCACTGAGAACAGCCAGCTTGGCACTTGGAGATGACCTTCAGTTTGGCTTTGTTCCCTAGGGAGAAGCTGGATAGCTCACCCACCTTATTTGCAAGGATGCACCCTGTCTGCCGAGACAAACAGAGGAGAAGAGCACGTGCAACAACAAAGCACAGGCTGTTTAAAGAAGCATTCATAATGCTGCCAGCCATGCTCTGCTGGCAGGCACCCAGTATTATGGATAGGGCTTAGCACTACTCATGTGATCATGCCAAAAGGCTGGGCAAGCAGACTCTGTCTTAACATCCCATGAATGGGACTAGTTAAGTGAGGCTGTAAAGATCAATAGGTAAGTGAGTGGAAACAAAGCCTGCCATTGTCACTCACCACCTGAGTGATGCTGAGCCTGTCACTCACCTCTAGGTTTCTCTCTTCATAGCAGGAGATTAGGAAGTGACTGTCTTATCTGAGAGGCCTCATCCAAGGATACTAATGTAAGGTTAAGAATGAAAAGCAGCAGGTATACACCTGGTTTTCCCCAGATGAAAAGCCAAAGCAGGTACCTTAGAGGGTGGTCCACAGAGAACCATAACCAAAACAGGCATCAAGTTGGGAACCTTTCTTTCCTGTAGTTTAGATGTACCCAAATGGCCGAAACGTCAAGGAAGATCAACTTTTCATTGCCCTGCTTAGGGCTGATTTGTACAACAGACTTTGATAAAGGCTGGTTTGGTGAATACCCCAGTGCTCTGCTTGCTGACCTTATAAACCAGATACATAAACCATATATAGGTTGTCTGACCCGTAGAAACACACAAGTTGTATTCAGAAGGGTTTCTTAGGCTCATAGTGAATTAGGAAGGAAGTGACTGTGAGGGGTCTTCTACTTCAACACATCACCAGGGCAAGGTAAACTCCTTGAAGCTAACCTAACTTCTTCCAAAGCCAAGGGTCACCTGTGAAGCACTGAACCCATCTTTTTTATCAGTCCTTTATCAGTCCTGCTTGAACCTGGACCAGTGCTTCTTTTGAAGGCTTCCTCCAAGGGTTTCTTTCCCAAGCTTTACCAGGAGAAAAATGTGAGCAAAGTGCTATAAAATAGAGAAAGTCGTGTTTGTTTCTGCAGTAGGTTAAGCAAAAGGATAGGGAGGCACTGCCAGACCACACAGCTCTGTGTTCAGGTGGTTTTGTATAGAAGAGAGACAACTCAGTTTTTGTTTCTTTGCTTCATAAATACAGCACAATGGGTGGTCTCTGGAGGAGCACACCAGCCTGGGCTTTCCTATCCCTAGTCTCTTCCCAGGCTGCTAATACCTGGTGGTAATGTCATTAGTGTGTTTGTGTGGGCAAGGAAAACACTTCACATGGAACAACAGAACAGACTCTCTTCTAAAGGGACAGCCCCAGCCTCTCTTTTCTGTTGTTGCCAGCATATTGCTTTGTGCCAGTGGTTTGGTGCCTGCAGTTCAACTGGCAATGGACGCTGGAAGGTCCAGCTCCCTGGCTGGTGAGATCTTAAGCCTGCTTGCTGGATGGTGGGAACAGTTAAAATAGAGCTTGTGCTTTATTACAGGCCTGGAAGAAGGCTATTGCTCTGGTTGCCTTTGCACAACAGAGCAAGGAGAGACCTTTTGCAATGGCCAGCAAGTGACGAAAGGTCCATGCTCAGGACAGCCTGAAATGAAGAACTGAGGCCCAGATGTTAGAAAGATGGGAGGCACTGAACACCAGTCACTTTCCCTGCAGTGTTCCTGTCATTTCAGTGTTGAGACTTATAACCTCGACAGATGTGGCACAGATGTGGCTCCTAGAGGTCTGGATGTAGGTAGCTGTTACTTGTACAATACATGTTACTGTTGAGGCACAACAGAGATGGCCAAGTGTAGAATTTCAGGCTTACCATTGGATTTCCTGCCTTTGCCTGGAAGAAAACGATAGCTGTGACACTCAGTGTATGGGAATTTCCCCTCTTAGATTATATAAATGTTATTTAAAGAGGTACTTGAGTAGATTTCAAAACATATTTTCACTTTGGGAAGGAATGTTTGCTATTGATTCATTCAAAATGCTGCATTTAGTGGTGATGCTTGGGTTAAAGATGTTTGAGTTACAAGGCCTTACCATTCTAATAGTTCTACAGCTCTTTTTTGCTGTTACTGTAATAGATTGAAGTTATAAATCAATAGATAACAAATATTAGTGTAATGTTATTGAATACAAACACCCTGATCCTGACAGAATCTAAATACTGACCTCATTATTTGTATTCCTCAGTATGCAATTACATATTCATTTGGTGTAAATCACCTCTGGTTGAAGTCAGTGGGGTTACTGCTGGTCTTTGGGGTCAAAGGTACAGGCGGTTTGATCCCCGTGTCACAGAACTGTCACCAAACTGGGTTTAACTGATGATATTTTGCACAAAACAAGCTCTCTCTTCCCCCGTTCGTGTTGCTTTTCCTAAGCAATGCTGTTAACATGCATTGCCACTGCTTTTGGACAAGTCTTGCTAGTCCCAAACCCCCTTCTGCTCTAATTTTCATACTTAATGCAAAGCAGAACAGGCTCTGGTCCTTCAGGCACGCCACGGGACCGTTCCCTCTTCCCCACCTCTTCAATATAAAAAGCATGCAGCATAATCTTCCCTTCAGTCCTGAAAAGTACAGCATAATCTTAAGTAAATATTAGTGTTCCACTTGCGTAAATACAAACTGCCATTGAGGGCTAAAGCACTGAGCCTGTCAAAGCCCACACTGAACAGATTTCCTTGGAAAGGACAGTAAGGGTCAGGATAAAAGATACTTTGGTGTTCACTGTGAGTTAGGGGAAGAGCTCTGCTGGAAGGCCAAATAAGAACTTCATCCTAGAGCTCTTGGGAAAGAGGGAAGAGAGACGCTGCTGGATTTCTTGATGTATTCCTGAACAAATAGCTCCTGCTGGCCATTCTACCCCATTTCTTGCTGCCTTCTGGTGACTGATGAGATGAGGATGGTGTCCTCCCCCTTTGCAGCCATTCCAGCTCAGAGAAGAGGGCAATGTCATAGTACCCACTGCCAAAACATCGTTCAGATTTCTATGTTATAGACAGCACTGCCTCCTGTACCTGAGCCAGGAGAGGTGGTTTTCATTCCCCATCCATTCTCTAGGAATATATCTCATCACATCTAAGGAAGTAGCAAGAAGAGACACTGTGCTGTTTATCAAACTACCATTGAGATCAGCTGCTGCTCACAGAACTTTTAATAGGACTAGATGTTCTGGGAATGCCAGATCTTAAGGTTTTTAAGGCACTTATGATTCATAATCATAAAAGATCTTCAGAGCATTCCATTTTTCATTAGGGAACACAAGGTTTCCAAACCCACCAGGCATATTAGGTCCCTTTTCAACCCAACAGTGACTACACTGCCTTTGCCTTCCTGTTTTCTTTCACTCTGGCCAAGGACAGCAGATTTCTACCTCCTGGGTGAGAAGAAGCATAAGGCACTTCCAAAGAGAGCTGGTATATGATAGATAGATCTCATTTTCCAGGCTATTTAACATAGTCTGGCCTTATTATCACACCTGCACTTTATCAGCTGCATATGGATGGTTCTGGTCAGTTTATCCATCACAGAGTTGGCTTTTCCTTTGTCAAGAAGTGGAGTGATAACTTGGATATCCCATTGCCCATCGCAGAGTGCATAATAAAATACAAAAGCACTGATTACTGATGATGACTTGAATCTGTAATCATGGGAACAACACACAACATCGTATTTCCAATTGAGTTAAGAGGCATGGCTAGCTGCGGGGGAACACTTGCCAGAATGGGATAACACAAACTGCTGACCAAAGCCAAACATCCCTTGGCTCAGAGGATTCCCATCTCCTAGCATGAGTAGCTAGTCCTTCACGGAGATCACAGCATTTCATCTGCACTAATGACCAAGTCCTAGTCTGAAGAGGCACTGTTATTCTTCCCATTGCATTCAGGAGACCCTGACTTGAAGGAAAACAAAGCAACATGCCTGAAGTCAGCCAAGGAGTCAGAGCTACAGGTAGAACCTGCACCTTCCAGTCCCTGGTCCTGTGCTTTCCTGTAATGCCCTTGTCCCCCAGCAGAGCAGGGCAGGAGGGAAGGCTGGATCCCGTTAGTGAAGAGATTCATCCTCTCAGGGTTTTATTAGGCCTTAAAGTATTAGAGCCATGCTGGCTACATTTGCCCCATCATTACTTTATCTGAGCATTCATTTCAGCCCCTTTTTGTGTCTCATGCCCTTTTAAATTGCCCTGCTCTGTGCCAAAACCCTGCTTGTTTCATAACTGCCATAAATTTGACATAGACATTAGATTTCAGAGCAAAGCTTTGTCAGAAGAAGGCTTCTGAATATTGCTGGTGACAAGAGAAGAAATCAGAGTGCATCTCTGCAGACAAGATTTGCCTTTCTATCGGGTGCTTGTATTATGGGATAGCACAGAAGTAATCAGCTGCTTACCCTTTGACAGAGCTCTTATCTTCTGACCCCTGTTGCCCACTACATGGGAGAATGGCAGTGAAACCCCCCTGGAAATACCAGAGGACAGAAAAAGCCAAGTCCTCCTTGGCAGGTACGTCCTTTTATATTGCTGCCCTTCTCAAAAGCCATGTGCTAACACAGTGCTGCAGCTGGTCAGCCTGTGCTTATGAGTTCATCATCCATGCACTGCTTGTAATGTGTGCTCAAACCTTTAGCAGCACGCACAGGTTGCCTGGCTCCATGCAGGGATACTGCTTCCATCTATTACATAGAATCATAGAATAGTTAGGGTTGGAAAGGACCTTAAGATCATCAAGTTCCAACCCCCCTGCCATGGGCAGGGACACCTCTCACTAAACCATATCACCCAAGGCCTCATCCAACCTGGTCTTGAGCACTGGCAGGGATGGAGCATTCACAACCTCCCTGGGCAACCCATTCCAGTGCCTCACCACCCTAACAGGAAAGAATTTCCTTCTTATATCCAATCTAAACTTCCTCTGTTAAAGTTTTAGCCTGTTACCCCTTGTCCTATCACTATGGAGGCCAATTTGTTATTTTGCTTCTAATGTTTCTCTTTTGCCCACTTTCTAGCACGATACCTTTGTGCATTTGTAAAGAGAACCTGAAACCCCATTTAAATGCCACATCCCCACCAGCCTCAGTGGGATTTAGAGCCTCAAATATCTTTGTGAATCCCCAAGTGGATAAAATGCCAGGAACCAGTGATAGCAAAAAGACAGAGAGGAGGGGGAAATAGATGAGCCCAAACTCCCAGCCTTGCAGTCAGACTAAACGAAGCCTGCTTCTTCCCCCAGCTTGCCATCCTTAGTACATACAACAGTGAGCACTGGAGAATAATCACCTACATCCAGTTCCTCCCCCCCCCCCCAGCTCTGCTTTATGACACTGCAAGCACGCACAGCCCATTTTAACATTTTCCAGCCCGAGAGCTCCAGTCCAAGCAGGGTGGGCAAACAAACGTCTCGTCACCGCCAAGTATGGCCCAACATTGGCTCCAGCAAGAAATTTCCAGCCACTATGGAGCCAGACACATTTACATTCCTCTATTTGAAGTAAAACCCTAATCCTCTGGAAGATTTGCAGTCTGAGCATGAGCTGTGCTCTCACCCATGCCTTTAAGGTTTCTTGCTGTCATGCAGCAAGGGGCAGCAGCAGCCTTCCAAAGAAAGAAGGAGCTGGTAAAGAGAATGCATTGGAAGTGAAGGGGGCTTTTCTTTTGTTTCAATTCCTTGAGGGCTCTGAAGAGTCTCAATAACTTATCCTCACAGTCTTACCTCTAGGAAATGAATGAGTCTTTCTTCCTTATTCTATCAGCAAGAACACTAAAGTCTGTAGAAGGCAAGTGTCTTCTCTGATACCATCCAAAAGCTAAAGGTTTCACAGCAGAGCCAGCATGGGAACTCAGGACCCTTGGCTGCAGTAAGCCCAATAATAAACACTGACTTAAAACACAGGTTTGTCACAACGCTGATTCCTTGACAGCTTTGGCTTTCCTGCTGTTTGCACCCATAATTGTCACTCTCCCATTAGAGGATCAATTTTTACTGCATGCATGATGTTTTGCTCCTCACCCTCCATCTATTGGCAATGGGTGGAATTATTCTAACCATGGGAAGGAGGAAGTGCTAGTGCAGATGAGCATGTACAGAATTCCTTCTGGAGGTGCTGAAAGCACTCAACACCCCGCTGCTCTCTCCCATTCTCAGCTCAGAGCCTGACAACCCACTTCTCAGCACTCCATGGGGACCAAGACATCCCCAAATGGACAGAGGAGGTAGCTCATGCTTCACGTTGCCACACAACCAAGCCTACACCTTCCCTGTGACACCCAGCACCTCTCCTGTTCCACTGCAGAGGTGAGGCTGCATCAGTTGCAGCAGAGCTTTGGGGTGAGCACACAATGGTTCTTGCCCAGGCTGGGACTTCAGGATGTGGTTGTGGCCTGAATTTCAGCCCTGGCCCCCAGGCAAGATCACTGTGAGTGTAAGGACTCTCACTTCCTTCTTGATCAAGCCCAAGGATTAGAAGCAGTCTCAGAACGGGTCAGTGGATGCCTTTTCACTCCTGGAATTGGATACAGCTTACCTAGCAAACCATGAATTCTGGATTTCCAGTCAAGGGCTTGGCCTTGCTGACCTAGTCTCCTGCTTCTTTCAGCACAGACATTGTGAAACTCTGACTTTCCTGTTTTCTCGCGCCTTAAAAAAGAAATAGCAATATTTTAAGCAATCTTAAAAGAACCTAAAGATTCCTTTGCTGGCTGCTTTACGCAGCAACTTCCCAAGCATCATTACCACAATGGTTTCCCCTTTCAGAGGTCAGCCTAAAACACTCCTTATTTTGTGTCTGCAGACAGTTCATCTACTCTTGTCAGGAGGACAAGATGTAGGGAGCAAGGGTTAAAACTGGAGGAAAACACATTCATTCCATACTAAGGCATTATTCTCCCCACACTTGACTCAGATCACCTCACCACTGTTAAGGTAGCTATGAAATAGAGTAGATAAACCTGCTGCAAAGCTCACACAGGCAGTGTTCTAATTGTTTTAGCTTTGGCCTGCTATAAGAGCATGGCAAGACACTGCCTTCCAGACAGTAATGCAGGTCTTCTCTAGCCATGCTCTTCAGTGCCTTTTGATCACCTTCTAACATTCACAGTAAGTGACTGAGTGGTGGCAGTGGTGCTTTTACATGTTGGCCTTTGGTTCTGTGGGCTACTGAAGTCCTCCTGTTGGAACACGGGCTGAAATCATGGTGTGTTTATCCACACAGCAAAGAGGAAGAGACAGTGGGAAAGATAAATGTTTCTTTGTAGGAAGTCTCCAGTTCATGCCAAAGATGTGGATTCTCCCATCGCAATGTAGATAAAGATCAATATGCAAAAGCCCACTCTGTAGGCAGTACTGACCATGCCTGTGGTCATATCCTGACTATAAACAACATATGCCTCCAGCTTCCGTTTGCTGGCTCAGGCACATTGCAAAAGCATCACAGTTCCCTACAGCTTTCTCACTGCGCTTCATATCACTGGATAAATATAGCAGTATGCAATGAGAAATTAATTACTGCCATTTCAGATCCTGTTGCTTGTGAGAAAAGTAGCTCAGAAACAGAGACTTTCCAAGGATTAGAGTGAAGTGGTCAATAAGCTCCTATGAGGATCAGCAGAATCTGGAAGGAAAAACCAACCAGAGGAAGGGGAAAATCAAGCTGGCTCTAGTTCCACAGTGCTATGGCATCTGCTGCTGAACAGCTCTAGCACTCAACCAATTGTAATGCCATAGAAGTCCTTCCAGCTCTATGCCTTTTTGTTATACTTATTTCAGGCTAATATTACAACTCCAAACCTTTTCCTTAGTATAGTGCTTAAATCACACCCAGAAGAGAAAATTAATCCAGTTATACCACCTCAGTTATACTATCAGTTAACTGAGCAAAGACAACCTCTGCCCACTTGAGAGGGTCAGGCGTGATTGTGTTAGACAAATAGTCTCATCACAAGTTGATCAAAAATGACCACATTTTCCAGTTCTAGTAAGTCTGTGGCAGAATCAAGACCACTGCAGCATAACCTCCTTCTGCCCTGTATGCCCCTGCTCCCAGCTCTGGTTAGAACATTGCTCCTTACAGCAACGTGTCTGGTTGACATCAGGTCCAGGGATTATTCTGTGTGGGATCATTCTATGACTCTCAGAATAGCTCCATGCAGTCTTCCTGAGAAGGCTCCATGGATTCTGGCTGGGTGGAATAGTCTGAACACGAAATGGTGCAGGGAAGCACTCAGCTCTTCTTGATCCTTTATGTTCCTTTAGGTTTTCTTAATATGCTCAGAAAAGGGCACAAGTGATTTTGACAGCTTCTTTATGTCATTTTCCAGAAGCCTGAAATGGGATTCAAGTGACAAACCTCTAAATTCCTGCAAAGTTCCTCTGGATGCCATGGCAAATTAGGAATTTGCTGTCCAAACCACACATATTGAACTGGCGCTGATCCTGCTGCATTGACAGTCTGATGTGTTTTCCTTTCCCTCCGTTTCAGTCCCTTTGGCCAACTGCAATTGTTACACATCTGTGAATCACTACTTCCTACTCAGCTAGGCTGACCCACTAATAACAGCATTATTTGCAGTAGAGTCAGCTTCTTTCGCTAGAGATTGCACAAAACCCTAGAAAATGACAGCCCTTGTCTCAGAGTCCTCAATAGAATTGGACATGTTTGTTCCTTCTACACAGACAAGTGGGAGGTCCTTGAATTCACTTACGTGTGTGTTCAGTGGCTGTCTGAAAATGGTACTTTGAGCGGTCCCTTGACTGACCAGTGTGCACCATGCCAAAAGACCACCCTTCCTAACCAGATTTGCCTCTTATCATCAGAAAGCTCATGGAAGCAATCTCTTGCTTCAAGGCAATTTGATAAGGAACATGCTTTGCTGGTGGTTTTGCTCTATCTTAATTGTGCCTGACCTAACTAGTGCTCCTCATTTGTTTGTATGTTACCCAGATCATCTTTATGATGGCCACTTCGTTCTAGAGTGAGTGATGGTTTTAAGAGCTGACAAGGAACATTCCTGCAATGCTCCTTAGTGCACAAATGATGGATGATCTGTCTGTCTTTCCCTCGCCACTCATCCCATCCTCACTGATACCTGTATGTGAATCTACATGGCCCAAAATCACGTAGGCTACAAGAACCCCAGTGAAGTGAACTGCCTGAAACAGGCATGGAAGTTCTCTGAGGTTTAGCAACATCAGGCTGAGCACAGGAGGTATTTGGTCATCTCTTCCACTTGGGAAGCACAAATATGGTAGTGCAGGTAGTCCTGAAATGCTAACACATCAGTTCACTGGGTGCCATCTACAACCAAAGATACTCGGTTTCCTTTGCCTCCTCGTTATTTCCTGACTGATACATCCCATGGGTTAGATGTTACTGCCTCTTGTCCCAGACTGAATTAACATTTAAACATGCAGATTCACCACTGGTTTTCCATATCACGAATCAACAGGAAGACAAGAGTTTGCGTGGTGAAATTGAAATGGATGCTAACAGACATTAATGTCAACGCTCCAGAGATATTCTGTGCCCCTATTTTAAGCAAAATCAAACATGTGCAGAAATAAAAGCTATTGGGACTACTGAGAAGTGTTTCAATCCCTAACTACACAAGAAGGGTCACGTCAGCAAAGAAGATGTAACTGTCATGCTCTGACATCTGCTCTGGGAAAAGGGCTTAAATATTTACTGTCCACACTCATCAGCTAAAAGTGTTTTGGAGCAAGGTGCAAGGGGAGAGGATAGAAACCCTCAAGGCTGTTGGCTCAAGAGAATGTGAGTTCTGTGGCGCATGCACTCCAGTCAGATCTGGAACTAACTTGGGAAGGGGAAAACTTGGTCTGTTTAATGCAAAGAGTCAAAACAAATGGTCTCATTTCCAGCCTTCATGATTTCCAGTGAAGCTTTATATCCGAGACTGTTTCTACATTAGGCTGCTTCAGAGCCCCAAACACTTCTGTTAAAACTCCTCACTCCCGGCCTCTTCCCATCACTGCCACTTCCAGCTGCCCAGGCCACGTTCCATCTCCTTTCCCCCTGTTTTTCTTTGCCTCCACGGAAGCCATCTCTCCCTCTGCAACAACTTTCCTATATTAGGAAAAACCAGCCTCAAAACCGGGTGCTGAGTGTTCGCAACCCTCAAAGAAGCATCTTGCAGCCGATCAGTTACCACTGCCTACATCATTGAACCGAGAGGGATATGCTTCTTGCTGGCAGACTCTGGAGACTTGCTGAACCCGAGCCAAGAAAATAGATGAGGCAAGGGGTGTTAAAAGCTACCGTCTCGCCTCTTGTACGCATTACACGCCTGAGTGCCTTCAGCACCCAGGGCCCGGAGCCCAGACAATTCGCTGAAAGTCTAATGCATTTCAGATAAGGCCTTTGACTATTACCTGGATTGACAGGCAGAGAATGGGAGGAAAAACCCAGGCTCCGGCCTACCCAGCCAGGCAGAAAGCAGCCCAGCTCCCAGGCTAACCTAGGTCAAGTGATTTGGCGCCTGCGGTGTATTAAAGCTATTTACAAGAGAGGAGAGGGAGGGATTTACACAGTTTGAAGGGAACCAACTCTCCCAGTGAAAATTGGGTTTATTATTTTAATTCATGCTATGTCCTGGCTCTGTGCCCACGGTCAGGGTTGGGAAGCCACTGGCTTTAGTGGAAACAATGGGAAAAATGAACAATATTTCTTGAAGCCGTCCGTTTCACAACTACCCAGCTCCCATGCTTTGCTTTTATTCTATGGACCGTGACCAGAAAGCTGTTCCTTCAGGCTGGAGGTGGAAAGAATCAACTCTCTCAAGTTCCCAAGAGCCTTGTGCCAGATTGCTGAAAGATAACAAGACATTTGGGGCTGATAGAGTTGACTCTTTCATAGAACTCGTGAGTGGTTTGGGTTGGAAGGGACCTTACACTTTCCACTAGAGCAGCTTGCTCCAAGCCCCTGTGTCCAACCTGGCCTTGAACACTGCCAGGGATGGGGCAGCCACAGCTTCTCTGGGCACCCTGTGCCAGCGCCTCAGCACCCTCACAGTACCTTGAACTGTCTTGACAGCCCAAAGGCAGGGATAGGCACGGTTACTCTGGGTGGCAAAGGTGGGCTCACAGTAGCCAGTGCACCATATCAGTGTAAAGCTTCTGTGTTCTCCAGTTTATCCAGAAGGAAAACCAAAGGGGGAATTGCTCCTGAAGGAACTGGGCATTCATCCTCTTTTGGAGTCTTAGGAAGCTGCCTTTCCCACCACTTTTTGTCTTTCAGTTATCTTGTGCCATCCCTGGCTGTAAAGTAGCCGGTGCTTCTGCCAAGTCTGTTCACCACAGCTGAGAAGCAGATCTTGCCTCAGGGCTCTCTGAGGGACCCGTGTGTCTCGTGCTGCCTGCCATGTGAGTGACAGCAGCCCTGTGTGGGACAGGTCTGGCACCCTCCTGTGGTCTCGATGTGAGCACGCAGGGCTGGGAGGCTCTGTATGGACTGGAACCCACACCAGTTCAGTGCCTGTGTTAGTCCTCATGGTTTGATCTGAGCCCAGACATACCACATCGGGACAATGAGCACAACCATTCTCTAGAACATCGTGACTTTCCCCTCTGCTTCTGTTTTCTCTTTTCCTCCTTTTTTCCTCCTGGGTTGTTTGTTGGGAAATCTAATATTCTGTGACCAATTTGCCCCTAACCTGCACACACACCCCCCCCCATCCCCTTTGCTCTTTGATCTGAAGATCAAAGTGAGGCAAAAGCACAAGCTGGGGACAGTAAGAAAATCAACACACACACGGAGAGAAAGAAACCACCTACTTATAACAAGGAGTAGTAATATCTGCTCCTCCTCTTGTGATGGCCCCATATGCAGCTCTGTTCCTTGATTCTCAGGTAAAAGACTGACAGATACCCCAAGCTAACTATGATATTCAGTCTCACTGGAATAAATCTGCTATTAAACACCCAGAAGTCTAACAAAGCTAAAGCATTGTCCAATGACAGCGTGTCCAAAGCAGTACCCCTGAGGTTTCTTTGGAATGCTCCTATCACGCATCCATGTTTTAGCAACGAGGACTAACACAGCATGGCAATGTGGACATCTGCATGGTGTCATAACGCTTCCCAAGACTATGCACAGCAGACTCCAGAGGATTAGAACAGGATCACAGCACTTGTGCTATGGGCTCTGAGCGGTGACTATTAATATACCAAGCACATCCTTTGTAAAACATTGAAGATCCTGGCTTTTACAGCAACCCTGCATTGAGCTCTGCCCTTGCTGCTCATCGTGCTGCTGGCGGGGGGCCAGGGCTGTCACTCAGCAGCAAGGCAGATTCGCTGTCAGCGTGCTCTTTAGCCATCACAACACTGTCAGCCCTGGCGCCTAGGCAACTGGGGGAGGATGCTTAATGAGGTCCAATTTGTCTGGCTGTAAGGGAGGAGAAGCCAGGGACGTGTTGCAGGATGTGTCCTCAAAAAGAACTAATCGAGGCAGAAGCTGCGGGGCCCAAGGAGAAAGAGACAGAAACTAATGCAGCAAATAGCCTCTTCTTCCCCTGTGCTCTGGGAATCTTAGGGGTTGAACAGGCCTCTCTGCCTCCATGTGCAGCAATGTCTCTCTCTGAACTCCTTAATCTCTTCTTGCAACTCCAGGCTTTGCAGTGTCCTTTATAAACACGCTTCTGCTCAGCATGGCTAAATGCATCTTTATCTAGCACACACTTAGAGTGAGGCACTTCTATCCTGCTTCCGACCAGCAGCATGGAACTCCACATAGCTCTTCTATGCGCATATAACTGTGACTCCCTGCTTCCTTAATCCCTCCAGCCAAACCTTACTGCAGTGCAACAATTCACCTGTCTCCTTGTAAGTCCTGCAGCGTTCCCCCCGCCATCCTCATGCCTTTCTGCCAAGCTACATCCTGCTCTTTTTAATATAGGTGACTAATTCTCCACACTTCTCTGCATCACATTAAAAGGTTTCACTTGGGGCTGTGTCTGCTTAAAACAAACCAAAGCACAGCAGAAAAATTGCTTCTAGCTAAAAGAAACATTCTTTCACTATTATATCACCATTCCTTTCCATCACATCTCACATTAGCAGTTCCAAGGCACTCAATGAAAGCACATTTTACCTGTAAGCAGAAGATGGGTAATCCTGA